ATTTGGCTTTAGTATCCTATCCTAACAGCTGTTGTTGTAAGTTATAAGTAAGTGGGGGGTTATGTGCCCTCCATTTTTACGTATGTACTGTACGTGGTGTCTCAAATTTTCGTTTTTAGGGTGTTATTAATCGGAAATCATTTTTGAAAAGGAAACAAAAATGTTGTTGGGGTATGAAAGTGTAGCAGAAGTATGAAGGCAATATTGCAGAGTTTCGTACAGGTTCATCTACGCGACTTGCAATTACTAGGACACAAAATACGTTTGAAACGGACGGAACTGTTTCAGTTGTTGCCAGACAACATTTCGAAGTATTTAACGAGCTTCATTAGCTGCGAAAAAGTACTAGACAGTCATTGCAGAAAATTGAATAGGCTTGGTATCAGCTAATCGAGTGTCTATCGCAATTTAGGGTGCCACAAGTTTCACTCTAGTACACTACATACACAGTATTCGACATAATTGCTTTACCGGACAACTAGAAATGTACATATTACGCAGCAACGCCACACCCAAGATTGCCAAAAGTTTGGTGTGTGGTGCAACATTTCAAATAACTTTCACTAACTGATGAAGTTATATTCTGTGATATATGAAAAATGTGTGGGAGGACTTTACTAGAGGTTGTCGGAAACGTTCCCTAAAAGTAAAGTCCTTCCGTTTCTGCTATCATCGTAATCTAAACGCGTACCTTCTAAATAGATGGGTTATATTTATTTAACCTGTATACACCTATTTAGGGACATGTCCCTAATTATTATTAGTAAAAAGAAACTTAATCTTTATATACATATATATATATATATATATATATATATATATATATATATATTAGTTTCTCAACCTTTGGAGCATTTTCGCTTGATATAAGCTCGCGGAAGTTAATATATTATATTAGCAAAAGGTACTATATAAGCAATGGTAAAACGAAAGACTTTTCGATCATATGAGCCACACACGTCAATACAGATGAGAATAGTTACTCTACATCAAGTAAATGTTCCCTGATAAAATTAACCTGAACGAACACTCATGCGACTTATTTAAGGTAGCGCTTGCGAGAGCGGTGATAAAGTATCCGATGTAAGTTGCTAGTTCTAAAGAACTTTGTTCCGTGTAATTGATGACTCCCTTAGTATCATTTGTTTCAATTTCGACAGTGTGCATTTTCGTCACTGCATACAAGGCCGTCTACTTCTCGAGGTATTCTATTTTACTTTTACACGGAACGCTTGTTCTTGAAGCTCTACGTTGATGCCATATCTGCTTATTGAACTACGTGCGACCGTCGTCTGTATTGCATCTGGTCTTCGCTATCTGCCACTAGGATGCGTACCTATGGGCTCCAGTGAGATTGAGCCTACTTCAAAAACTAACGCTGATGGATCCTCGTACGGATTCAAACGTATGTAAGGATCTTATCTGACACTGATTAGATGGCGGATGGAGGGTACACAACGTCGATCAGCAGTGTTGCCATGCTATCCTGTTGGGATGCATTAACCGCCTGTCAGGATCCACTGACAAGCATTTTGGAACATGTATTAGTATCGCCTTCGTGAAGAAGCTGCATTTGCTACTTGGAGACTTGACGACGCCCATCGAGAACTATTTCGGGTGCCTCAATCAATTGAGGCCATCGCTCAAGTGCGTAGTGCTAGGCTGTCGTCAACAACGAGCAATTTCTCCCAACATCTCCCATTAAATATCACTAGATTATTGTCGTAACGATCATTTCGCAACGGATCGTGTTTGTCGACGGACGGATCGATTTGAAACAAATAAAAACATCGAGAACGGTGTAGATTTATCACTATGACTGAAACTACTCAATATTTTGAAATAGCTCTTCGATAAATGTAGTAAAGTAAGTTAGCTTTCAGTTAGGTTAATTTCACCGAATTATACGATCTGTACAATCAGTTTCGGATAGAAACTTTACCGAAGCAGTAGAATAGTAGAAATAAAGTAATACACTATGATGTTTTTTTTTGTTCAAATACACTGCTCCTGTAGTAGATATCGATGATGAGTTTTGATTCTTTCAAGTGGCACAAGTACTCGATAGTGATCAAAGAACTGCTCGAGACTCACTGGTGTAGAATTCAGCATTAACGTCAATTGAGCTTCAAAGAACCAATGTGAGCAATAAAGTTAACGATTATTGGGCTTCTTAAGTGAAGACACGAGTGATCTTTGTTCCAATCCCGTAGCAAACAAGATGTACGATACAGGACGACTAGATCGGTTAAAAGGTACATAGCTAACACTCGATTCGTGGCGCTCCTCTGAGGATACTCATGACGCTTTTCGGACGTCTCCTAGTCCAAGTCAAGTATTAGCTGAAACTATGTTTGCTATCTAAGTAAAAACAAGGAAATATGGCGTGTCGATAGACCAACAAGGAACGTCCTACTGACGTTGTTTTTCTTTAAAAACAAGACTCTACACGCGCAAATGGTGAACAATCATCGGGCGATTTACATTTTTTTATTCGATAACGAACTAGTTCTAAGGCAATATGTCACAGACACAGACAAATACGAAATCAGATGTGAGCCTCCACGGTATTTCCCACGTAAAATCAGCTTCGTTTGGTAGTGGTTATTAGGTTAGGAGGGTCGGCTGAGCCCTTCAACAATGCAACAGTCCTGAATAAACGCTGTAACGAAGCACAACAAAAGTGGGTTATCAAACACAATTTGACCCGGTCATCGTCGAACCCCAACTGAGACATAATAGCAAAAACAGATTTGATACAAAAATAGGCTAACAAGCTCGTTGGTGAAAGTATCTGTTTGCATGCTCGCTTATTTTCGATGCCAGAGCACGCAAAACTATTATACTGATACAAAATAATTCCCTTAAATTAGGTCCGAAGAGCATTTTCGATTTTTTTTTTGGTAGGACATACGCTTAATTCGTCGATATTCCCAGCTAAGTAAGGCCATAGTTCGAACAGAAGGTTTGACCGTGAGCAGCGAACTTGTGGATAATTCTTATAGAAAAATACGATACAGTAACGCTTTTTTCCCTCGTTTAATGAAATTAGGTGTGCAGTATCTAGCTGCTGTACGCGCTAGCTAAATTTCGAGTGGTTACAAATTAGCAGGACATCTTAAGTTAACCTGTATACCTGATGTTGTGGATAGCCTACATCTAAAATTCCGAGCCTACTCGAGGTGCTCAAAGCGAACATTTTCGAATGCTCGTTTTCAGGTTACGCACAGAATACGGGTCACCTTTTGATCGTGCTGATAATGTTGACTACGATTGTTAAGCATGACTAGATATAGGAACAAAACATACCGTTAGCAGACAGCTAAAGCATTTTTATTTAGATGGGTTAATACAGTCATTATCTTTTTAAACATTTTAGTGTTTTCAACGGTATATTTTTTGTGTGAGCTCAAAGCTACTCACCAAAGATTAGTGGAATATATAGCATAGATCGAGTATATATTGTGAAACTGTACTTATAGTTTCGATTTTGTAAAGTTTAGTTCAGTTTCAAGTTTTTGATAAACTTAACTTGTTCTATAATTGCTAACATTGTACAAATTCAACACCTACTTTATTACAACACCTACTTATAAACAAATGGTCGCCTCTATTTACACATAGTTCTTAAAAACAATCGGCCATCTTTAGTGGACGATCTTTTTAGTGAACTCTTTAGGAAAATACTATCATTTCGGCTACGTCGCCTGAATATATTATATTGCCTTTGATCTTATAGTAATTCTTACCTCTTTATGCTAACTTTTCTGCGTCTGATACTTAAAATTTGCAATTGATATTATTTTGTAGAATATGATCTTCATTTCATATGATCTTAATTTGTAGAATAGGCGGTCTGCCTTTTCGAATAGCTATAAAACAGGACGCTGTGTTAGTGTTGAAAATGTCTAAACAAAGCTGATCCAAGTGTGCCTTATATCGCACGTCGTCCTTTAATGATTCTTGTAGCTTTCCGATGGGGATGTGCTTTCCAATTTCGAGCGTAAAGGAAGAACGTAGTATAAGAAATAACTCACATGCGGAAGGAAGAATTGGTAGTGGAAAACCGATGTAGTTCGCTCTAGATAATTAAGCTGAAGACTATCGGAGACTTGGGCTAGGAGCCAGTCAATAAGGGAATCTCAAAATATTTCCGACTGAAACATGCGTCAGCATATTGACTACAGATTAATAATCAATCCGGAATATAATCTATGGACAAAAAGGTTTTAAATATAACTGCTACTCTTTTTTAAAAGTATTAACAGATATTCCAAATGATCTATACAATCTACCGGTGATATTAGGGGGCAGTTTATTTATTCGGGTATTCATTTTCATAGCTCTAATCGCTGCTTTTTCTTTGTTGTAACAAACTTTTTTAAACTGGCTAGCTTATCTCAGCGGACTTCTCAGGCCCAGTGCATCGAATAGCTTATAGATGATAAAAACGCAATGTCCGTTAAAGGTTTAGCTGTCAACTACACTGACAGTGTGCCCAAACATTGATGCTCTCAATCGGAAGGCACCAATTAACACATGTTCGGAAGGGCGTAGGATTCGAAGTTGTTTCCTCGCTGGCACGCTTGATAAGGAAGTGCAGAGGCCCGCAATACCTTCAAAATATTTCTCTGGTAATTAACTACGGAACCATTGGCAGCATACTCAATGTGCTAATGATCCTTCTTACATTCTTCCCCTCTGCCCGTTTCTCTCCCAGTTCAGAAGAAGCAAAGGGGTACTTTAAGACGAGGTGCTATAAATGTACAGGATTTTAGACCCGCACCTGACATGTTTAGCCTTGATCGCAAAAGCATCTACGAAATATCGGATTTGACCTCCGTTCGTTAAATACGTGTACAAGTTTATTTTCGACACTCGTTTGAAAGCTACTACATATGAGTCAATGATCTTCACAGCACGCGTCGAACCCATAACGTATACGATAATTAGAGAAATTATAAAAACATCGGTAATCGATGTTCTTTGACAAGTTAACTCTAAATTGCGCACTTCCGACGACTCAATGTCTCGGAATCTTGCCGCAAACTAGTGTATTTCGCTGGAGGATCATCGAACAACGCGATCGGAATATACGTACTGGAGACAACAAAAGCCATTATGAGTAGTTTTAGGCGCCCAAATTTTTACTTTTCTACCCAATTCAGGATGGAGGATAATTGTATATCATTATTATAAGGCTTTGGACAGATCTGCAGTGGGTTACAGCTTTGATGCGGAACATTATCTTATCATTATAGTAACTTCTACGAATAAAGCTGTGTTTTGGCTTAAACTTACCTCCAAGATCGCTTTGTTTTGCCTTAATTATACCTTAATCATCCTATGCCCGTAAGGATCGTTCTGCCATAGTAAAGACAGATCAAGATCACTCTGAGGATGTTGTGATTGATCCCACCCTTCAAATTGGATCATGCGAAA